CGGCATCCATGCATTTTCTGGAAACTTGCTTTGACTCATAATGATTAAATGTTATTAAAATCACTATATTTTTCTTCCTCTTCAGAGACTCTTTTTCCTCCTTTTTAATGCTTCTGAAAATGACACGCACCTAGAAACAAGGTGCCCATTTGGTGCCGTTTGATTTTCTCCCTCAGAAGCTGTCAGGAAGGCAGTGGTGCGCTGTGTGACAGACACACCTTAAACGTCATGTCTCAGAGTTACAAAACTGGAAATCAAACCTTGAGCGTGGGTGGCCGCACACATCGCCATCAAGGCTGGAAAAGCCAGTTATTGAGTCAGCAGAGCTGCTGTGTGGCTCGTGTGGCCCCCAAACGCTGGGCCATGATGTGCACAGACAGGACACCCCAGACCCACCCACCGACAGACCGTCGGGGCGTCACACTCACTGTGGGATTATCAGTAGGTAGACGAGGCCGAATAAGGCAGCCAGGAGGAGAGCGAGCACGACAGCGAAGGTGAAGTACTCGTCCTGGAGCTGGTGGTACTGCAGACACACAAAACGCACAGGCGGTGCTGCCGTCCCCAGGGCCGCATGCGTCTTCCCCAGGGCACCGCCAGTGCCCAGAGCCCCTGCAGCACCAACAGGGACAGCCCCGCGCCCGCTGGACCAGACCGGACCGGGAGAAGGGCATCGCGTGTGGGACTCCTGGGCACTCCTGACCCGGTCACCCACCTTTCGCTCCCGCTCAGCCTGCTTGTACTTCAGGGTGAAGAAGTTCAAGTCCGCCATCTCCAGCTCCGTCTGTCGGGCTTCTAGGAGGCGGCTGATGTACCTGTTGACACGGGTGCCTGGGGTGGTGTAGACAACGTTTGTGGAGAAAGACGAGCGGTTTCTGAGTTTTTCAGACGCTGTTCTCAACGCCCTGCGCTGCGGCCATCGTGGAGAGAAAGGGGTGTCATTAAACCACCACGCACGCCCTCGGTTTGCACCCTGGCGCACTGCTGCCTGGCGGGGTGGGGCTCCACCACCTGCTGCCGTGCAAACCCAGGCGGGTTAGCTCATCATCAGCGGTGGGGCTCCTGCGTCTGTAAGTGCAGGCTACATGGCAACTCCTGGGCGGCTCCGTGTGGAAGGGTACAGGGCCCACACGAGTGCAGTGAGGGCAGTGCCCAGCACAGAGCAATGAAACAAAAAACTGGTTCTTTGAAAATATCGATAAAGTCCACAGATCTCCAGCAAGTGTGACAAAGAAAAGACACTAACAAATTCAGGAATAAAATGTAATTTTACTACAGAACCCACAGACATCAAGAGGATAATGAGAAGATAGTATGAACAGCACTGCACGCATGAATGTGACAACTTAGATCAGTGAGCTATTCCTCAAACAACACACAAACTACCACAAGTCACCCAACATGAAAGGCAATTTGAATAGCCCTATCATTACTAAAAAAATTGAATTCACAATTTTAAAATTCCTGAAAAACTAATCTCTACGCCCAGGTGGTTTCACTTGAGAATTCTACCAAATGTTTAAAGAAGAATTAACAACAATTCTATACAATCTCTTCCAGAAAAATGGAAGAGGAGGCAACACTTCCAAATTCACTTTATAAAGTCAATATTAACCAAAGAAAGTACAAAAATGGACAGCTATAGGCCATATCACTCATGAATAAAGATGCAAAAACCTGCAACAAAAGATTAATAAATAGGATTCAGCAATATATAAACAGAATTATACACCATGACCATGTCTAGAGATGCAAGGCTGTTTAAATACTTCAACATCAACGCAGTTCACCATACTGAGGTTAAAGAAGGAAACTCCCATGATCGTATCAATTGATACAGNCGGCAGGGCTGGCGGGAATGGAGGAAGGCCCAGAGACCGGCCTCTGTGCTGACTCTCCGGAGGACCTTGTGTCTGGTCAGCTGGTCACTGACAAGATGGCCCACAGGCCGCTGCCCTGATGCAGCGCAGAGTGGAGAGCGAGGCCCTGAGCGGAGCCTGTCCAGGGCCCCAGGGCAGTTGGGGCAGCGTTAGGACCCAATCCCCCCAGGGCTCCCCGGACGGCACTCACCGTGGCCCCGGCCGTGGGCGCCAGCCCCACTGCAGCCATGTAGGTGCTGCCGATGGTTTTGATCTTCTCCAGGTCCTTGTAAAAGTCTTTCTCCATGAGCTTCGTTTAAAACACAAAACTGTTCAACGTTACATAACATTTTAGACAAGTCACGACAGCGATCGCCGCCCCGAGCAACCACAGAGCGGACGAGCGCATCAGAAAGCAATGTCTGCTTTGCTGTGGGTACCAGGTAATGTCTGGGCAGAACTGAGAGGTGCAGGACGTGCCCTGCCCTCCAGCTCACGACCACCGGGAGGAGAACGGGCCTCCGTGGGAGGGATGGAGGGCTGGAGGACACAAGGACCCGCTGCCCACCCACCATCCACCCTGTAGGTGAGGTCGCCCAGCCCGAGGTCGTACTTAAAAGTCAGGGGACAGGCACTCTCGCCCGGGCTGCAGACCAGTGCCCTCAGCCACACCCTGGCAGCCTTCCTCCCAACCCTACGGCTAAGACTCCTCAAATGTCACGGCCGGTCTGCGCCCCAAGCGACAGAAGCCATGTGCTTTCTCCCCGCCCTCCCACAGGGCACGTGGTCTGGTCCTGGGTCCAGCTCAGGACTCAGTTGGAAGAAGGTGGCGCTGCCCAGCACCGGATGCCCCGCCGCCACGGTGGGGCTGGCGGGGACAGCGAGGCGCCCTTACCTCGTCGAAGTCGGCGATGATCTCGTTCAGGAGGCGCAGGCACTCCACCCCCATGTTGTTGCCGTCCAGCTCGATGTAGAAGTCGTTGAAGTTGGGGATGGAGGCAAACATGACGCCCACCTGCGAGTACGACTGGTAGTAGAGGTCCTGGGGGGCAAAGGTCAGGTCAGCAGCGGTGCAGGGCTCAGAGGGCTTGGGGACCACCAGAGGTCAGTCGGCACAGTGCGTGCAGAGCCCTGTGGCCAGCTCCCCCACCCCCATGTTGGAGACCAGGGGTGCAGAGGGAGGACTCTGCCCGGCCCAAGGCCCAGCCGGAAGGAAGTGAGCCCCGGGATCTATTTCAGGCCAAGCCAGGCAAGCTGACCCTCTAGCCAGCCTCTTCCTTTGTGAGTCAGTGCTGGTCAGCCCTGCTCTGTGGGTCCAGGGGGTCCCAAGCTTTACTGGGCAGGTGTGGCCATAGGAAGCTCTGACCAGCCCAAACCACAGTTGCCCCGGTGACTGAAGCAGCTGTCCTTCCTCCTGAGGACGATAGGCGCTATGCTCTCTCCTGGGAGCAAACGGAGGACACTACTCTGGGGTGCCTCGTGTGTCCCAGGGGCTTGGCCCAGGCACTCCCTGACCCTGGGGGTGGCTGAGGGGACCCCTCAACTTCGGTGTGGCCAAGGGCTTGGAAATGACCATGCTCTGTGACTTTAAGCAGAGACGTGATGGGAGGGCCAACCCGTCGGACCTCCAGCTGGGACCTGGGACCCCGCTTGTCAGCGCCCAGCCACGCGCCAGCTCACCATGTTCCGGGGGTTGGACATGAGGAAGTGCTGGGCGACGTGGGCCGGTAGGAGGTTGAAGAGGATCCTTTTGTTATCCAGCTTCACTCTCTCCATGTCGTCTCGCTCCTCCTCTGCCTGCGGGGTGCAGCCTCCGTGAGACTAACGCCTCCATGTGACAAGATGCTCTCCCGGACCAGACTCTGAGACCTCTTCTCAACCAGGCCCTGACTCTGGGGTGTCCCTGCTCAGCTAGTGCAGCCAGGCCCCTGCCCCTGACATCTGACCACCCTCCAGGTGACGTGGGACCACCTGGCCCGCCCTCAACAAGAATCCCATTTGGTCAATTTGACCAGAAACCCCCCAACACCTGTGATGTCTCCCTATCTACCAGCCCCCATCTGCTCCTTGGCTAAACCCTGCTTATCCTGTGTATTTGGGGCTGAGCCCCATCCCTTTCCCAGGGCACTGGCCCCCAACTGTCCTGAACGACATCGGCCGCACCACCTTTCACAAGTATGAACCCAGCGTCCACTTTCTGCCTTTGCTGCGGTCATGGACACACGCTTTCTCATCACCCAAACTGCCGAGGCGCTGGCAGTCCACACCAGGGTTGTCCCACCCACACAAAGCAGAGGGGCCCAGAGGACCCACAACGCCCTGGACAATTCACCATCCGACATGATGGAACATTCAAAGGACAGACAATGGGGCTCCCCCNCGAGGTCCGGCTGGCCGGGAGAGCCACGAGGTGCCCGGTCGTAAGGGAAGGGGGCCCAGCAGGACAAGGACCCGCCTGAGTTGCACAGCTGGGCCCCCGTGAGCCTCTCTCTGGGCGTCTGCACCGCGGCCTCGGCCCTAGTGTTTGGGGTTGGCTGATGGGAACAAGCCCTTTTCTCCAGCTAAGTGTGGACTCAGGTGCATCTAAGCGTCTCCATGATAACCAAGATTTGAAATGTGTCCTGAGCTGGACAACAGCCCTTCCAGTTACTAAGGCACTGATGCCCAGCTCCCAGAGACAGCTGTCCTTGTGTGCCCCAGCTGTCCATCTAAGCGGTGACACCCTCCCTCTGGGAGGCCAGGGGCTGGCCTACTGACCGCTCCTAGCGGGTGTGCCCAGGTCGCCAGCCCTTGGAGCCCGCGTGCCGGGAAGGCTGGGCGCCACATACCCACGCGGAGCACGAAATCATTGTAGGACTGGTAGTTGATCTCGTCCAGGACGTCGAACATCTCGATGGCAAAATCGGCCAGCGTGCTGAGGTGGGCGGAGATGCACTTCTTAGCCTGGACAGGAGCACACACAGGTCACTGCGTTTGGGGGGTGCAAGGACTGGGGGGGCAGGGACACTCAGCGGGTGAGCTTCCCGGGTGGGGTACCAGCCTGTACCCCGGTGGGATCAGGGACTTGATCCCACATCAACAAGGCAACAGCCTGGCAACTGTGCCCAGCCGCGGGTGGGCGGGCTGGTTTCCTCAGGGACCCACGGGACCTACAGCTGCCCTGGGTGCGAAGGTCGTCCCTTTGGACACAGAGGCCGAGTGTTGCCCCAGGGGCTCGACCCACACCGAGGCCAAGCCTTCTGCAGGCAAGGGGACAGCCTGTGAGTGGGACGCCAGAGGTCCCAGCTCGGGCTCGGACAATGTTGTCACCAGCCGTCATACACAAGGAAACAAGGTCAGTGAGGGGTCCCACCAGGGAGCTCCAGCTCCGCTCCCCCACTGAGACCACATCTTTCCTCATTCTGTGGAGCTGAAAGGTCGTCTCTCTTGTGAAACGACAGCAATAAATTTTCTTCTTTTTTTAATGATATCACGGTTTCTCATGTTCCTTTTTTAAGGGCTATTTTACAATACTAGTGCTCAAAGTTAAGAAGCTAATGCTTTTTTTAAAAAAAATTAACTGACAGTTTGGGGTTTGCAGATAAATTGAGCAGACAGTAGGGAGAGCCCCACACACCCCCACAGCCCATCCCCACACAGCTGCCCCAACTGTTAACACCCTGGTTTAGGGTGTGAATCATCTGTCACCTACACTGAGTCATTACTAACTAGAGTCACAGTTCACTCTATGTGTTACACATTCTGTGAGTTTTGACAAATAGAGGATTTCATGTAGCCACGGCTGCAGTATCATCACTTGTAAAGATTTTTCTCTCAGTCTGTGGATTGCCTTCTCATGATAGCCTCTTCCATGGAGTAGAATTTTGAAATTTTCATTAGGTCCGACTTACCGATGTTTCGTCTCATGGATCATGCGTTTGGTGTTGCACCTGCCCAAGGTCACTCAGGGTCCCCCTACGTTACCTTCCAGGCGCGAGCTCTTAACCAAATGAGCCACTCAGCTGGCCCTCATTGGTTCTCTTTACTGCTTACCTGTTTTCAATTTCATCAATCTGTGCTCTAATTTTATTGTTTCTTTTCTTCTGCTTGCTTTAGGTTTACATTGCTCTGCTTTCTCTAGTTTCCTAAAATGGAAGCTGATGTTATCTGTTTTGGATTGTTCTTCTTTTCTAATGTATGAACTCAGTGATATAAATTTCCCTCTAAACACTGCTTTTGCTGCATCCCACAGATTTTGAAAATATATAACTTGTATTTTTATTTTCATTTAGTTCAAAATATTTGTAAATTTCTCTTGAGACTTCTTTGATCCATGTGTCAGTAGAATTATGCTTAATCTCCAAATATTTTGTAATTTTCCAGTTACTATCTATCTCCTGCTATTGATTTCGGGTTTAATTCCATTTGATCCTGAGAACATACTTTATATGATTTCAATTCTTTTAAACCTAAGTTGTGTTTTATGGCCCAGAACTGGTCTATCTTGGTAAATGTTCCATGTGAGCTTCAGAAGTGTATTCTGCTGTTGTGGGATGAAGAAATCTGCAGATGTCAGCTATATCCGGGTGGCAGGTGACGCTGTTCAGTGCAACTACCTTTATTGACTTTCAGCCTGCTGGGTCTGTCCATTAGTGACAGAGGGTGTTGGAGTCTCCCACTGTAACTGGATTCATCAATTTCTCTTTGCGGCTCTACCAGTTTTTGCCCACGTATTCTGAGATTCTATTAACTGCGTGCACATTAAAGATTGTTATGTCCTGGTGAAGTGACTCCATCATTAGGCATAGACCCTTTATCTCCACCTGATAATTTTCTTTGATCTGACGTTTGCTTTGTCTGAAGTTAAGGTAGCTACTTGAGTTTTCTTTTATTGGTGCTAGCACGGTATCTCTTCCTACGTCTTTTTATTTTTAATGTATCTCTGTGTGTCTTTAAAGTATGTTTCTTGTGAAAAACCTATTTGGGTCTTTTTTTAAGCCACTACATCAGTCTCCATCTTCTAATTGGTGTATTTACCATTCACATTTAAAGTGATTATTTACCATTTGCGACAACACGAATGAACCTAGAGAATATTATGCTCAGTGAAATAAGTCAAACCGAGAAAGACAAACACCATATGACCTCACTTANGGACCGCCGGAGAAGGCGGCCAGAGAGGCCAGCCAGGCGTCTCAGAGCCACTGGGTGGGGTGGGGCTTGCTGAGGCTCGAGTGGGGGCCACTCCTCCCGGGAGGGACAGGGAGGCCCACGCTGCGGGCTCGCCAAGCCACATGGCCCATCCCAGGTCAGCATGGCGGCCAGGCGTGTCTAGGCCGCCAGGTCTCACTCAGGGGCCCGTCGGTGACCAAACGGGAGTGACCGCCTCCCCCACCCGCCTTGCTGAGCGGTCCTGGGTTCACCGAAAATTCTGAGGGTTTTGTTCCCTGTGGAGTCTTTCAGGTTAAATTTGATGATATATGTTGCACTGACCATTATTTATCTTGGTACTGAGTTTGGGACGTGCTTAAATTGTGTGCCTGAGTGGGTGCCTCACTCCCCTCGCGGAGTCCCAGTCCTGGGGGGACAGGCGGAGTCCGAGAGGGGAGAGAAGGCCGTGGTCAGGGCAGTGTTTCTGTTCCGGACGTGCGGCCACGAGGGGCCGGGAAGCTCTCCTGCTGTAACCTCCAGGCAGGTCTGTTAACCACAGACATGCTGGGACCGCACAGAGCTGACCCGGAGGTCAGGGAAGGACGGGGCCAGAAACGCCCGGACGTGGGAGCCTGGGCGGGGAGCGGCGGGTGGGCCCCGCGGGCCTGTGTCTGGGAGCCGGTTCCCACGGAGCCAGCCGGGCAGGGACACGTGAGAGCCAAGCCTGCTGAGCACCAGGCCCAGAGGCTCCACCGGCAAACGCCGCCTGGGGGGGCCTTGGGGAAGCGCGGCTGTCAGCGAGACGCCCTGTGGGAAGAGCACGCACACATGTGCGCATGCACACACACACACACACACATGCACGCACACACGCGCACACATGCACGCGCACACACACGCATGCACACACGCGTGCATGCACACACACACACGCACACGCACGCGCACACACACATGCACGCACTGCCAGGCTTTCAGTGCAGCCTCCAGTGCCCGGTGGAGGGGAGGCCCGCGTCCTGCGGAATCCACACCCACGGGGTTCCTGAGGGGATTCCACATAACGTCCCCACGTGCACAAGTTCACAGAGCCACAGAATCCCTGAGGCCATGAGCCACCTCGAGTGAGAGTGGTGGACTTTCCCAAAAAGCCTGTAAAACTAGGGATGAGCTCCCTTTTAAAGGCACAGAACCCAGAAGCGGAGAAAATGGCCATGGGGGTCGAGGGGCCACAGCTCAGGCAGCAGGACGCGGGTCACGGACGCTGCACGTCCCGCGGGGCCAGGCCGGGACACGGGGAGGACACGCCAAGCTGCCGTCCAAGCGCTGGTGGCCAGACCCCACCCCAGGCTCCTGGGACAGAGCCCTCCTGCCCGAGGGGACGGCCTTTCCTGGAGGGGACCGGGGTCTCTGGCCTGGGTGACAGACACGAGGCGCATGTGGTTTGAGTGGACGCTCAGGACCCCACATCCCCGCACTCAGCTCCAGACTTCCACCCAGGCTCCCTGCACAGCCCAGCGGAGGCCAGAAGAGCCGAAGGTGGCTGTCACCAACCCAAGAAGCAAAACCGAAAATGGTACAGCGGGGCCACCCTGCAGGACGCCCGACGGACGGGCAGAAGCACTCGACCAAGGGCGGGACCGCAGGACACCAGACAGGAGCCCACGGGAGGGGACGGCCAGGGACGCTCCCCACAGACGGAGGGGCGGGAGCTCGGCCTCGCGTGCGTCCACAGAGGCGTGGGGCGCCACGCGGCGGAACGTGCAGAACGAGAGGAAGGCTTCTGCGGGGAGCGGAGCAGCCCAGCTCTGCGGCTGCCCGGACGGCGGGGCGCCCTACCTTGTCATCGTCCTCGCAGGTCATGACGTTGGAGAAGGGGATCTCCGCCTTGAACATCTTCCGGCAGTGCATGAGCTGCACCAGCAGGTAGCACACCGTCCGGAACCGCATCCTCTTCGCCGGCTTTATGTCCGATAGGATCAGCCCCGGGAACACCTGTGCGGACACGGCACACGCACGTGAGCTCGCGCCCGCCTCTCGGCTGGCCGGAGCGCGGCTGCGATGGGACGGGGCCTCTGCTCAAGCGCCGTGCCGGGGGACGCACAGGGACAGCAGTCTGGCTCCCAACTGCACCCACCACCTGGGAAACCCGGGGCGACTTGCCCAGGCCCGGGTCGGGGACAGCATGGAAGCCTGGGCGTCACCCGCCTGGGCCAGCGAGGCTGAGGAACGGCACCCGCCAGCCGGGACCACTCCCACCCACCTTCCCCTGGGACTTCAGTGCCTCCTACAAAGGCGTCCCTCTGCCCGTCCCCGATTCTCTCCCCTCACCCCAAACTTCACCAAAGGGGGCAGCTCCTTGTACCAACTGCCGCCACCTCGCTGGATGCTGTTGTTGGAGGAAACGGGGCTCCCACGCGGGGCATCTAGGCTAACTCCCCACGCACAGCCCCCTGAGTCCCAGTGGCTCGCTGGCCTCCCTCCTCAGCCCCTGCCCTCTACCCCCCACATTCTGGGGGGACGCCAGCCCTCCCGGGTCCAGGCCGACCTCTCACCTGGCCCTTCTCCAGGCCACGCCAGCACCTACGCCCCTCCTCACACTCCCTTTCAGGAGCCAATCTCCGTGCCAAGCCCACCCCGCACCCCATTCCTCCTCCCCAGCCTGTGCCACTCTCACCCCAGGACCCCAAGTCACATGGAGACCACTGCATCCCGGGGCCTTGAGCACTGACCCACGGACATACCAGGACCTCTCCATCCTGCCCAGCCCGCTGTGACCTAAAGCAGTGCTGGGCCACCTCAGTCCTGACCCTTCACCTCAGCCCTGACCCTTCACCTCAGCCCTGACCCTTCACCTCAGCCCTGACCCTCACCTCAGCCCTGACCCTCACCTCAGGCCTGGAAGCAGCTCCGTCACCCTCCATCCCATCCAGATCACTTTCCCTGGGCAGGGTGACTTGAGTGCCCCACATAAGATGGTCGCAGCCCTCCATGTGCACGGCACCCCTCAGGGCACAGTGCACCCCCATCCATGACGCCTGCAGGGTGCTCTCAAGCCCGTTTTGCAGGAGAGGCAGTGAAGGCCCGGTGAGGATGCAGGAAGAGGACGCGGGAGGGCCCTGCCTCTGAGGACATGGCTCGGACTTGCCTCGCGCGCCGGCCCCTCCCCCCACACAAAGGCAAAGGGCCGGGCGGCCGGGGGCAGCAGGACGCCCTCCGCCCCAGAGCTCCAGGCCTGGAGAAGCAGCGGCCCCAGCAGAGGCAGGAGCAGTCAGTTCTGAGGTCACACAGCCACCCGAGGCAGGGGTGCCGGTGCCCACCTTTCGCCGATGCGAGGGCACAATGAAAAAGGTCTCGATGTTATGAGTTCGCAAAAAGCTGTTCCTCTCGTGCCCGTGGCCCGGCTCCACCTCATAGTCGCCATTTAAGCACGCGAGCGTCGCCTTTGTGATGTGAACCTTCCTGCAGAAAAGGAAGCAGGGGTTGGGGGCCCAGCGTGACCCCACTGCTCAGACTCAGGGCACGGCCTCCCCTGAGTGGCCGAGGGCCTGGGCCCCCCGCTAATCTGGCCAGCGTGCGAGCCCCAGGCCCCGCGGTGGTGGCAGCGGCTTCCCCTGGCCGTGAGGAGCCCGGGGCAGGAGGGAGGCAGCGGAG